TTTCACCAAAACTCTGGATTCTTTGTGCGTGAAGAAGTGGAGGCTGCTATTGCCTCAGAGCAAAGCTGACAGCTAGAAGGAGCAAAAGTAGAGCTWGTGAATGAAGAAAGCCTCATGACACATTGCCACTGCCCTAAATCATGCGAGGAAGCCTCCTGCAGCCATACCTGGGCTAACTCCAAACCTGAGGAGCGTGACAGCCCTGCCTGGGGCACATCTCTCGTACCTAACAGAGCTGTGCTGCCTCCAGGACACAGGCTGGTGCCTCTGATGTGCTGGTGGCAGCAGGCATTGCTCCTTAATKCTCTGCAGACACCCAGAATCATGTCCTGCTGCATGCTTGCACACATACTTGGCCCAATTTGATGGTGTACTTTGAAATTTAAATCTGTGCATAATCCATATAGAGGCCCTAGATTGACTGGAGAATTCAGCAAATTTGAGCAGCTAACCTGATGGCTTTTTTTTTTTTTTTTTTTTTTTTTTTTTACTGAAGTGAAATGGTGCACTAATTTCACAAAATCAACTCATATTCACCTTTTTCCATTGCAGCCACACCAAATACACTGCGTTGTTTGAAGAGCTGCATTCGTGTGCCTCCACTATGCAAAGTAGAAAGGCTGATACACGGATTTCCTGGGGACATTTCTCACGTTCCCATTGARATTCCATCATAAGAAAGGTGCAAAAGGGAGCTATAATTAACCATTTGGAAGTCTGTGATGTTTTCACAAGGAGATAACAATTTCCTCTTCCTCGGCTTACAGTATGTTAAGTATTTAGTAAATAGTCTGGAAGGAGACTCTTTTGAAGATTTTCATTACTTAACACCTACTGTTTCAACTATTTCTAAACTGTTGTAATAGTGCAAGCTGARGGGATTTCAGATATACTGACTTCATCTATTTTTTTCATTCCCTTCCCCTCACCCCATTCATTCTCCTTTTTCTGGCCAGAAAACCTCAAACCCCAGAATTCCTCCAAAAACACAACATCAGTAATAATCAGAATGCTGAATTTCTGACAAATGCCATCTGCTGATTTCTTTTTTTTTTTTTTTTTTTTTTTTTTCTCCTCAAAAGACAAGATTTTGGATAGGGCTAGTAAGTACTTTAGCTTCTTCTACTTTATGGTACCAAAATAATTACCATGGCAACTCTTTAAGGGCAGTCTTCCAAAGAGATTTATTGTGAATGCAGGAACTCAACAGCACTCTCTAGCAAGAAACAAGACGGCATCTATTGCAGGTTATTTTGGTACAATGCATGAATGATGACTAATAGACACAGGCATGTCTGTCTGAACTTTTTCAGATATCCCTAATAGTTTAACTTGCCATATTTATAGGTGGTGGAGGATGCAAGGGTGGGGGAGGGAGGGAGAAGCCATCAGCGTTAAACTTACACAGATTATGTTGTAATTGCCTTTCCTGAATAAATTTTTTTTGGCCACTGATGGCTGTAAGAGAAGAAAGTCAGAGAAACAGCACAAATACTGGGACAAGAATGCACTAGACTAGAAGGAAGCTCAAATTCTATTGAGATAATAATTGAAGGTTTTGGCACATCTTTTCTCTCCTTCCCTTCCTTTCTTATTTCTTCTTTTTTAGCAAAACAATGGAAGTAAGGAAGATTGCCAAAACTATTGTTTGTCCTACTGGAAGAAGGGAAGGGAAGGGAAGGGAAGGGAAGGGAAGGGAAGGGAAGGGAAGGGAAGGGAAGGGAAGGGAAGGGAAGGGAAGACAGGATACATGATAAATTATTAATCGGAAACAGCCATGTAGCATTTTCCAGGTAGCTCTTTTTTGGCTCAGGTGTTGGTTGGAGTTAGCAGGTATAATCTGTACGAACCCCAGAATTTTGAAAACCAGCCAGCATTGCTGTRTTATGTAGTTGTGTAAGAGGTTATATATGGTACTTGCTTTGCATTTGGCAAATGGTTCTCACTTAAACATTCATTTAGCATGATTACTTAAGTGAACCATATAAGGCTATTCCTCGGAGCTGCAAAATTAACTTGTTATAGTGATGCACTATGCCAAAAGCTAATTTAGGATCTACTTAGGAATTTATAACATTTATTTACCATGCCATTTGAATAAGGCAACTTTGCTGACAACTCTTAGCTGGCCACAACTTTTATATCATGCTGTATCTCATCGAATGCTCCCAAGCATTTATTTTTCTGTTACGCAGTGTCACCCCATTCTTCTCAGTACAAAGTAGGAAGACAAGAAACTATGTAGAGGAGCAGAAACCCACTGAACCTTGTGAAAAATGTCCTTTTCTGCATGAATGAGGGGAGGATTTTGGACATTTTGGGAGTTCTGCTTTAATTAAATTGAGCATTGAAAGAAATACAAAGGTCTTTCCCACCCTCCCTCTGATTTGAGGAGGTCAGAGACACAAACCAGGGAATGTTTCTCTCCTTTTTGTCAATTCAACCAAAYGAGAATGTTAAAAATACTGAAGGATTCCCTGCCTGCAATGTCATGCTTGGAGATAACATCCTGGGGAGGTTACTTAAATATACACATGCATTACACAGCAGGTACTCTTCCTCAGGTATAAGATATCACACAGGTTTGGTTTGTGGGCTTTCCCTGCCTCAACTGTATGACAAATTGTTTATAAAGTGAGACAGGAGAGCAGATTTACTGATTCAGTGAAGCAAGTTCTGCAATCACTGAAAAAACTTGCAAGGGTTCCTTGAAAGTAGGGAGTGAATAGAGGCAGGGGAAAGCATTGATGTTGCTTTCTGTTCAGCCAGTTCAAAAGCTGTCTCACTGGCTTATGTTCAGTGAAAAGAGGGAAGCAAATCCAGGAAATCTCCCTCTAGCCAGGTTACGATATTCCTTATTTGTCTCCAGAGAACCTGAGATCACAATCTGTCTGTCCTGTTGTCTCTTTTTACATCTCRTTTTCTGTGCAATCGGCCTTTGTGCAGAAAGCTGTGCTGCTCTTTGGTGCTAGCTTCAGCTTTCTCCTCAATCCCAGCTCTTTTCCTCTTTAGCACTGTAACAATTCTCAAACAACAAGAAAAATAACGAGGGGAAAAGTTAATTTGTGTCTCATTGTAGATACTAATTGCAGAATGCGTCGTCTTTCTTTTCTCCCTTTTCTCCCCTTTGCTGACGCACATGCTCTATAATAAGCTCTGTTACTTGGAGCCTGTAAGCCTCTGTAGTAAGCTGAAACTGCTACTATATTTACTCACTTTCCACATTTAGACAAAGGCTATTTTTAACCGGAGTTCTATTTGCGGGGGCTGCCAACGTCACTTAATGTTCACATGCATCTTGGGCATCATATGCTTGTTATTTTTATTTACTGTGCCTGTGCCAGGTCTGCTTTTTTATGGGAAGAAAGAATGAGAATGCTTCTTCAGGCCAGTTCTTGAAAGCTCCTTTGTACAACAGCAGATACACAGATAGGCAAGGAAAAAGCAACTCAGCAGTAGATTTGGCAAACCTGCATTTTAATGGCTGGCACTTTTTATCTCTTGGTCTAGTGGCAAAGCTGTGCTCTTAGTCCCATTGCATTTGTTAAAGGTGAAGATGTTTCAAAGGTATTTTAATTATTCTGGTGTCTCCTGGAGGATCCACGAGCTCTTGTTCTGTGATTAAGGATGCAAGGATCAGGAAATTATTACGATTCCAGCACTGCTACCAGGTAGTTAAAATAGATGATGTGTAAATAATCAGTGCTTTTCTGATCCTCCTTGTTAATAGGTGCATGCTTTGGAACTTGAACGCAACAGATGTTATTTTCAGATAATTAGCTTGGCTTTTCAGTGTAAGAGTCCCCTGAAAATGCTGAAAGCACTGTGCTGCAGCCATAAATCAAGCCTGTAAATTGGGGCCCGTACACAGCGTTTTCTGTACGGGTTTCCCTGTGCTGCTCCAGTGACCTGAACTTGACCCAAGGGAATTGCCCTTTACAGAGGTTTGGAACACTTCATTCAGCATGCTGACTCAGGACGCCTGATTCACTTGATATTGCCATCATCATATGCCCAGGATTTTGAGATACCCACTACCCACATGCCTTTGTAGGGAATAGGTTATTCTCCACACACAAAGTGGCATCTYTAGTCACACTAAATGGTGAATTCCTAGAAAGGCGTGAAGTGAGGGAAAAATCCTTTAATGCTTTGCTGTCAGCACACTTAACTGGAAAGTCACTAAGTTACAGAAGAAAGCTGAAATGGAATCTCCTAAGGTGGGTTTTGTTTAAGTTTGAAATGTTTTGGAAAGCTTATGGATTCTGTAGTTTGTTTTTTTTTTTTTAATCTCTCTCAGTGCTTCCTACTSTCAACATGAATTCCCTTTTCAGACTGATTTCAACACGAAAAAGACTTACCAAGCCTTACATAAGTCAAGATTTCTGTATGCTGATTGTAACAGAATCAAATATTTTACATTTTCCTGTAATTAATTTTTCCAGGGCAGTTTCTTTTCCCCACTACAGTGAGTTCTGTAGTGAGTTCTGAAAAAAAACCCCAAAACCCAACAGCTTCTGATTGTCTGTAAAGTGAAGTCTGGTTTTAAAATCAAAACTCTTAATTTCACATTTTCACATCTGTGCTTCCAGAACTGGGCAGTGAAATCCCACTAAGTCATGGGCAGGTGTTCAGACTCAGTGGGAACTGCACATGCTTAATGCTCTGTGGGTTAATCCATTTACTTAGGTGACTAAACATGAATGAATCTACATACCTGCCTTTAGAGGCTTTTATTTAAAAACATGTCACCCTCATGGTATTCGCCTATGTGGGGTTCTTTCCATGGGAAATTATTTTTCTACTGCTAGCTGATGCTTTTTTTTTTT